ACACACCTCTCATTTGCCTTCTCATCTGTTTAAGGCATTTGTATCTTCTCTCTTTAGTATTATTTCACTTGTATTTTTGGAGTGGAATAAAATATTGGTTGTGTCCGAGGAGTAGGCAAAATTAGCCGAACCTCGTAAATTCTGGTGTTTCTTTTATTGTTGCTTTATTGTCTTATTTATTATTTGGTGGCTGTCATAATTTTTGGTATAATAGTTGTGACTTATTCACACTATATACATTTGGCTTCCGCAACATGCCTCCAATCAAGTTATTGTTCCCCAAGTTTAAAGCTATCAACTCTGGCCAATTCATCCAACAATCAGGAATTTCTCCTGACAAATCATTTCCCTCGAGTTTTAAGAACATCAATCCGTAGGATCCGTTCTTATTTGTTTCACACAAGAAGTGAGATAAACCTCCGGAAAAGGAATTGTTCGAGAGATCTAGCGCATTTACATACGGTGAAATCTACGGCAGCGGACCACTAAAATTGTTGGAACCCAATAACATCAACCAATTATAACTTTCTTTTAAGATGGTTGGAACCACACCAACAAACTGGTTGTGTGAAAGATCGAGAAGCTCAATTTGAGAAGATAAGTTCCAAAACCAAGTTGGAACTTCACCTTGTATTCCACCATTTGATATGTCCACACTATTTATATTCTTTTGAGTTTGGAGCCACCTGGGAAACAAAGGACCTATATTCCAGCCGGCTATTTCAATATGAATGGCTTGGAAAGGTGGAATCCACTTCTGACTCACTTTTAAAGTCAGATTATTGTTAGATGCAAAGAAATTCCTTAATTGTGTCCAGTTGGTGAAATGACTTTCTGCTACAACGTCTTCCAACCTATTGTTAGAGATGTCAATACTTTCTAGCATTGGGAGTTGGCTAAGACTTTCTGGGAGTGTTCCAGTCAGTTTATTGTTTCTTAGTATCAATTCCGTCAAAGAAGAACTATTTCTCAATTCAAATACTTCTCCCTTGAATAGATTTCCTGAGAGATCAAGCGAACGCAATTTCGATAACTTTCCAATAACATTTGGTAATTTTCCAGAAAGCATATTTCTAGAAAGGTCAATGCTAGTTATTGAGCTCAAATTTGAAATCGCATTTGAAACTACTCCCTCAATATTGTTTGCAAACAGTATAAGTGATTCCAAATCTTTGCATCGATAGATCCATTTCGGGATAGTGGAGTTGAGCTTGTTGTATGCAAGATCAAGATTTCTTAGTTTTGTTACGTTTCCAGCCTCACGCGGCATCACACCTTCAATACCACTATCACTAAGCTTAAGATTTTCAAGATTATTAAGATCAAACAACCATATGGGTAAAGGACAATTGAAAAAGTTGCTACTTGCCTGAAGCTCGTGAGAGAAGTAAAGTTAACGAAACCTTCAGGAAAAGGGCCAATTAAATTACTACTACTCAAATCAAGAGAAACAAGACTAGGGAGATTGAAAACCTATTTGGGAATAGAAGAGCTAAAGTTATTCCAAGAAAGGTCAAGTGTTTCAAGTGAAGAAAAATTATGATGAAGTAGAGATGGTATATGATGAAGACTGCAATTAATTAAACTAAGATCAACAAGAGAAGGAAGCATGTTAATGACCTGTAGCCAGGTAGTTGCATTGCTGAGATCCACACTAGAAATATTCAAGTTCTCAAGATTGAAAAGACTTGGCAGCCGCTTAAGGTTATTGATCCTTAGATCATAGCTTGGTTCGTACACGTGCAAACCATTGCCTATGTGTAGCTCAATCACATGACGAGTCAGATTGCGGCACACAACCCATCCCATTCGCAACAATCTTTTCCAACAATCCAAGAGGAGAGAGACTCGAAGGGATCATATACTTCTTTCTTCGGACTCTCCAATGCTTGTTGCTCATTTTCTCTGCAAATTCCTACACTAACACTAAACTTGGTGATTCCCAAAATGAAAAACAAAAAAAAAATGTTCTTTTGATAACACCTTCATGATGTGCAAAGTTTTAGATTAGGAATGGAAAAGTGTATATCAAATAGGTGTTTGCTTATAGATTGCTTATAGTTCAATGGACAAGATCTTTGGCGCATAAATAAATAGGTGATCCCCAAATTGCATAAATTGCAATACGATCTAATTTCTTGATTCAAATTATGAATAATATAATACTGTACATAAAACTTTAGATCCGAGTATACAATGAATTCTATATACGGAGTAATATTTAATAAACAGTTTGCCGCAGTTGTTCCCATACACACTGCGACTTCCGCGTGCTGGCACGAAGTTTCAAATAGTCAAACCGTACTATTTTCCCAATTTGGAGCTGCTTTTTTTGCACATTTACCGCTTCATGCCATCACCACCCAGCTCTCCATAGAAGCGTAGGAGGAGCTAAAGGGGCTCTAAGTTACTATGTCCATCCTAGCCTGTTTCAAATTATGTATCATATTTCTATTTACATATAGCTAGATTTATATTATCTTTTATCATACTATCATTCTAAAAAATATTGGGATAATGCATAAAATCANCCATTCATTGGCCACGTGTAATGCCAAATAAGCCATAAAAGGGTCCCCAATGTTAAAATCACCTGTTTTAATTTAACCTATTATCTTTATCCCTCTTTCTAAACTAAAAAACTCTCTACCATTGTTGAAGAATTGCTGCTAC